TAGGGGCGGTGCGGGTGTGGTGGAAGCAGGGGAAGAAAAAGCGGCAGAGGGCGTCGGTTTTCGTCATGGCCGGAAAATCAAGAAAGGGTTTTTCTTGGTGGGTAAAAATCAGAGCTTGAAGGGAAAAATCGAAATAGAAAAAAGATAGAAAGTGATAGTGAGAGTTGTTTGTGGTGGGGAGGAGGAAAAACAATGGTGGGGGGATTAAGTGTATAAATAGAAATTGCAGGTGTGTGGGGATAACGGGGAAAAAAGGCGGGAGGCAAGAAAGTAATCGTTGAGAAAGATTAGGGCTTGAATGTGGATTTTATTTTTTATTTTTATATTTATTTTTTTATTTTTGGATAATGATCTTCTTGAGTATCAGTACAAGACCCGTGTATTGCACAAGTGTTTATCTTTTTACTTGTACGACTTACCTGTGTTATATTATAATAATTTTTGAACTTAAAACATATAACTACATTAAACATAAATATATCAATTGATAAATAATTTTATTTTTTCTAATGAATTTTAATAAATATTATTATTTTTTATTATTATAAAGATAAATATAATTTATTTATTTTATATATACAATATGGATGTCATATCGAAAATCATCAAAAGATGATTAATTTGATATATAATATATGTAAAATCGATAAGAAATACAAAAGTTATCAACTTTTAAAATACATTTACAATTCAATAGCTAATTGAAGGAATCAAATCAAAGTCAGGGATATATTAGTCACTTAGTATCTCACTATGTAAAATTACAAAAAATGAAAGAAATATATTAGTACAAGTGATATTAAAATACATAAGTTAGATAAATAATATTTATGGAATGTCCGAACCTAGATTATTAAGTATTAATATATCAATATTATTTATCCAAACCTAATTACGAAACATGGTTCTTCGCCAAGTAGGATTTCAAAGCACCAGTAGCAGTCATGTAGGCTCATCGCATTCGAGAATTATATATAGGGAGGGTACTAGTGATAGATTATATATGATTCGGATAGTTGATTTTATTACATGACTAGTACAAACACTCGTGTATTACACAGGTACTTCCTAAAAAAATTTCTTAAAATTTGAAATTAATGAGAAAAAATAGTTAAAAATTTAAATACTTTTTTATAAAAAAATATATATTAGTATGACACTTGTTACTTGTGCGACTTACATGTGTTATATTATTACATATTATTAATATACGTTTTTTTTTTTTTTGGAGTTGTT